CAGGCTCAGGCACACATCAAAGGCGTCAAAAGTCCGAGTCCGTGTCGACACCACTCGTCGAACCTGACGTCTTCTTGTCAGAACTCGATGCGAAGACACTTCTACTGGGCGACGTAGCTGAAAACGGTTCGTGGTGGTTAGGAGCGTCCAACGGACGGGTACCTGTGCCCGGAAAAGAGGGGCATCAACAGCGCGACCGATCTCCCGACAAGACGCGCGGTACGACAAGCTCGAAGAGCTCTAGAATCAATTGGCCTGAGGTCACTGAGTGGTATCAATCGGTCATCTACGCTGGAGACCTTTGGGAAGAGAGATGGCTCGAGATCCAGTCCCAGGTCACTGATCCTACTCAGCAACAACGTGGTCAATCTGTGTCTTTGGAGAAAATCCAACAAGACATCATTGAATCACGCAGCCACCTCCAACGCAGTCTGTTGAAGGTAACGGAAAATCTGTTGAAACGACCAAGGCAGCCTTTGAAGCACCCCGAGGATTGCCGCTTCCTCCTCATACTGTTGTCAAATCCCCTGTTGACCCCACAAAGGCTCGAGGCTGGCAAGGTATCTGGAAGTATTATGTCGCATCCTTCAACAACATTCGGCAACCCAGCCCAAGCTGGCCCACGTGGCTCACCTGCCAAACTAGTGCCGAGCTCTGTAAGACGACCTGGCAGCCTGGGCCACCATTCGGGCATCATCAAACGGATTCTAGGTCTTCTAGCAAACTTGTCCAACGAGAACCACCAATGTCTCGTTTCATGGTTCTCAAAATATTCCGATGGGCACTTCCAACGCACTGTAGAATTGGTGGGGACGTTTGTGGCTTATCGCCTATCAAGGCAGCAGAAACGTCCTGTGCACGAACCGATCAATCCTGTCGAAGGTCTTGTGCCCAGCTTCTCAGTAGGTGGGATGCATCATGCATCACAATTTCACGCAGCGCTCGATCGAAGGCAGTCCTCCACTTCGGCAGGAAATGCAGATGGAAAACCGAAACTGTCCTCTTACAGCGAAGATTGGCAGGTCCGGGTTGCTGCCAGGGTCATGGCCTTGCTCTTTCAGGCCAATATAGGACATGCGGCACGGAAAAGGGACGCTTCCAGCAGTTTTGAACAACGTCAACAAAGTCCAGGACTGAATGCCAAACACCAGGCGAACTCTCATGGACAGATAATACCAATCAACAGTTTCTACAATACCATGTTGGACTATGCTGATCTGATAGCTGACTTCGACACCTGGGAATCCACAAAGAGCAAGTTCACCTTTTGTCAATACCCTTTCTTCCTCAGTATCTATGCCAAAATCCACATTCTGGAATACGATGCTCGACGGCAAATGGAAGTCAAAGCTAGAGAGGCTTTCTTCGACAGTATACTCAGCCGCAAAGCGGTCAGTCAGTATTTGGTGCTCAAAGTTCGGCGTGAGTGCCTAGTCGAAGACAGTCTCCGTGGCGTTTCCGAAGTCGTGGGCTCCGGCGGGAGTGAGATAAAGAAAGGACTACGCATCGACTTCCAAGGGGAAGAGGGAGTGGATGCTGGTGGGCTCCGCAAAGAATGGTTCCTTCTCCTCGTCAGAGAAATTTTCGATCCCAATCACGGATTGTTTGTTTACGACGATGACTCTCAGTATTGCTATTTCAACCCATTCTGCTTTGAGTCCTCCGAGCAGTTTTTCTTGGTTGGTGTGTTACTAGGACTCGCTATCTACAACTCTACGATTTTGGATGTTGCATTTCCACCATTCGTGTTCAGAAAAATGCTTGCATCTGCTCCTTCGACGGGCGACAAGCTTACTTCAACGCCGAAGGTCGGCCATGGCTTCACATTAGAAGACCTTGCTGAGTTCCGTCCGGCACTTGCCCGGGGGTTCAGGCAACTTCTCGAATTTGAAGGCGATGTGCAGGAGACGTTTTGTTGGGATTTCGTTGCGGAGATGGATCGCTACGGCGAAATCATCCAGGTACCCTTGTGTCCCGGCGGTGAGAAACGGCCAGTGACAAAGTCGAATCGGAGGGAATTTGTCGATCTATATACCCATTATCTACTCGAAACCGCAGTTGCTCGACAGTACGAACCATTCAAACGTGGATTTTTCACGGTCTGTGGAGGTAATGCATTGTCATTGTTTCGGCCGGAGGAAATCGAGCTGCTGGTGCGTGGATCTGACGAGCCACTGGACATCGCCAGCCTTCGGGCGGTCGCAAACTATGATGGGTGGCCAAAGAGCGAAGGTCCTCCAGAACAACAACCACAGGTGGTTTGGTTTTGGGACTTCTTCTCCAAGGCTTCACCGACAAACCAGCGAAAGATTCTCAGCTTCATTACAGGAAGCGATCGAATTCCTGCCATGGGAGCAACGAATCTTGTCATTCGTCTGCAATTGCTCCGAAATAAAGAGGAAACGGACGGCCTTGGTCGCTCGCCCAAGAAGCCGGTCGAGCGCTTCCCCATTGCGCGGACATGTTTCAATACGCTCAGCATATATAAGTATGGCAGTCGGGAGAAATTGGAGCATAAACTTTGGATGGCCGTCACAGGCAGTGAAGGCTTTGGGTTGAAGTAATGGATAGGAGTGAGCATGCATAGGACGGAATCACCAATTCAACAATGATGCATGGGAGGCAATTGGGCAACGAACACAAAATTCAGGCTTTCCAGCATAGCAACCAGCATTTGCATTGCATGGAGCGGTATGACTGTAGAAGCATGGCGTTACGAGAGGGAGACATGTTTGGATTTTCCTGATAGGACATCGTGGAAAAGGGATAGCCACGGCAATGACCACGAGTACAGGAGGCGCCTTGGTGGCGTACTCCTCGCAAGTATCTGTCCATCAAGTTTCCTTCTTGTCTTTTCTCGTTTACAGTGAGGCTGAGGCTGCACATGCTTGCCTTGCACTATTCTCGTTTCAGCATTGAGGGGCAGCGTGTTCTATCATCGATTGCTCACTTCCATACTGGACTTGACCTACGCTTTGGACAAAGGCGCTGTTGGTTCCTGCACAGTCGCTGACGCTGCTGTATCTGATATTGAAGCCTGACTCTCTCTAATTCCCATAGGTCACTCACAGAGCATGGCAACAAGCGCAACTGCGATTGCGCTCCAGCCTCTAGCTCCTTCTACGATCGGCGTAGCAACAAGCACAGCCCCACCATCTCAACCTCCATCAGGACCAACGAGCAATATCGGTACTCAAAACAGTGCCCACCCGTCTATAGCACATGCGCCAACTGCACAACAACATGCAAACGGTGCTGGTACTGGCAATCTGAACGTCGGCGCACCGCCCGGCCACCAACCGCAGCAGACTACCGTGAACATCACTGGTCAGACCTCGACGACTTCCAACGCAACGAATCCTAGCAGACTCTCTGTCGTGAGCTCGGTATGGACCATATGTACACCATGGATGGTTCTACTGGCCAAACTAGTCGCTGGTGGCCTCGGTATAGTGGCCGCCTGGATGGCACTGTATCTGGCTCTGTGGACTTCTGTCAAGGACTTCCGCGACGATTGTCGTAGCCAAAATGTAAGCAACCCATCACTTAGGAATTGCGTGCTCTCAATCACGATTTGAAGTGGGCGTCTGGTACTGATGACTTGTATCACAGAGCACTGTGGGCATTGTGAGTGAAGCATGTCGAAGTGTCCTGTCGAAATCACTCTCTGCACCTCCGTTCTCGCCAAAGTTCTTGACAGGTGAGAGGATGAAGCGGTGGCTTGGAAAAGTTCCAACACCGGCGATAGGGTCGACATGGAGCTTCGTCCCGTGGAAAGACCTAGGAAGCATGCTTGCAGATTTGCTTTGCATTGTATTCGTGATGGAGGTAGGAGGAGTAGCCAAAGAAGTGCGCAGTAGGAGTCACGCTCTAGCGCGGAAAGAGGAAACATATCGGAATACTTTGTTCAACATCTACGGCCCTGCTTACGAAGCACCAACAATAGAAGCTGAATCTGCATGGAGGGGGCGCTGGCGACGCCTCTATGCAATCATATTCGGCTCAAAACCATGTCAAATATGTTCGATGGTCGAGAACAGCTCGGACGATCCGGCCGGTAATTCCATCCCACTTACTGAAGCATCAATGATACCACTTACCCCTACATTAAGGCGACGCCATCAAACAATCAACAAAATCTGGTCGAACAAGTTGAGGGACTACCAGCTCGTAATGTCAGGCCGGGAAGGCTCGTACAACAGCTACCTTCGCGCCTCGGCAGCTGAGGCACTGGGTCTTAAGGTGGAACCTTTGGACGACCACGACTTGCGCATAGCTGCGGAAGACGTACGTTTTTCCTGGGCGAGATCGATCGCTGGAAAGGTCAACATAAAAGTATTGGTTGAAAGGCGTTCGAGTGTAGGATCTGTGGAATGTCGAGGTACAAAAGCCGCATGTTATGGACTGATTATTATCGGAATGCCTCTTGGTGGTGAGACGGAAGCATATATACTTGATAGGATGGATGTACCTGACTTCTTAGCCGGAGACCGTTTGACGAAGCAATTGGACCCAGAGAAGGGCGCGACAGCGGCCAGGGAGGATAGCCTGGCTGAAATGCGACATTGGTGAATGCTAACTACTCAGCCGAATCAGACTGCTGAGCAGCACAGCCAGGTGGCCTTTCTTACCCAGTCCTTTCTGGCAGCTGTCATTCGATGCTTATTTCATGCCATTGTCTTGTATTGGGCTGGGAAACTTTACCCGGGTGTTTGCGAGAATGCGGTACTAGAACCTGGCAGACGGTTCGAACAAACACCCTTGGAAGGAGGCATTAGTAGGTTGACTGTTTGTTGACATATGAGATATTTTCTTCCGATATTGAGTCTGTCCATCACTGTGATCAAAAGAGATGAACCCCTGACGCTAGTACTGTTCAGGGAAGGCATGAGGTCATGCTGTTATCAAGATCATATTTTAAAGTCTCCAAATTCTCCTTCAACAAGTACCTCGATGAGAGCCTTTCAGCATTCATCCAACTGGTCTTGAGTCTTCTCCATGCTCTCTTAACTCAGTTGGTAGAGTGCGACACTAGTATCACTACTGATATGTCGAAGTCACTGGTTCAAATCCAGTAGGGAGCAAAACCCTATACAAGACTTTTCTTTTTGCTTTTTTGGTGCAATGTCGTGTTCAACTCGTTTCATTTTTGTCATTGTGTGGATGTACTTCAGTCCGCTACCTCCAGACTTTTCACGGTCTCTCTACTTGGCACAAAATGCAGTTGAAACCGTAGAAGGTCCTGCTCGTGACTAATAAAATGTGGCCGTGATTGTCGTGGACGACGAAACGAGCCAATCGCATGTAATGAAAGCTTTGGAAGTCATTATCAGACCAGCCGTGTCTATAGTGCTAACCATTTGTTCAGTCCAGACAATGAATCGAATACGTATGGAGATCTCGGTGCAAGCGAGGTACGATGGGTCAGGTAGTTGGGTACGCTGGCACTTGGAGTAGAAGGATGCATATTATATGATGAGTGTTCACAGTCTGAACAATGTGGAAGGAAGGAAGAAACATTTGCTCGAAATGCAATATCATTCTGGACCTTCTAGACTCGGAATGCAGGCGTCCCACAAACAACGTGGACGACTGCAATACCAGAGCAAGCAACATCTCTCGAGTCTCGTGTCCGCGAGCAAGATCGAGATAGCCATAATATGACCTTGACAGTGTCGTGCTAATCCCAAGTAGGACAATTGTAGCATGTTCGTGTGAATTTAGATCTTCGGATAGACGTCATTCAGCGCACAAGCCAAGGGCAACAATCGGCGAAAGACCCGGGACGCTGTCCATCTTGACGGCACATTAGCGGCGTGGATTCCAAAGAATCAGATGAGTCTTCGGATCCGTCGCCATCGAAGGGCCAGATGGCAGGTTAGAGCGAATAACAACACCCGAACGAAGACCGTGAGTATTGAGAAGCAAGGGCTGCACTCACCGACTCTTTCTTGACTGAACGGTGTGCGTAGCGGAAGAAAATGAGACCTGCATGAATGAGGAATTAGTGAACACGCTCGGCGGCGCGGAAGCCTTGCAGCAATTGAGATATGCCACTGGCGTCGAGGTGGCTGTTGGCCTAGGACGCCGATATGCTCCACGATGATATATCGGAGTGTCAATGGAAGACGTGGTTGGTTGAAAGGCGTCGATGGGAGAAATCGGGGGGTATCTCTGGTGGTGATTCCGGGCGCAGAAAACAGAATCTCAAAGCAAAAACGCCCCGCATCTGCATCATTTTCGCCCACCGCCCGCGTTGGTGGCTCCCAAAGCTCCAACTCAATTGTAAGGGGAAAAAAGAAGATAGCTGTGCTAGCTGGCGGGATGATGCCCCTCAACGTGTTTTCCTTTGGCCGGCGATAAAACCGTCAATTGTCTGCCTTTTTTCCTGCTGCCAGTCAATTAACAAAACCTCAATCGACTTTTGTAAACTGTAACGTCTTTCCTAATCAATTTCACACATATCAACCGTCAAAATGGGTTCCTCAGAGCTTCCTACCAAGATGAAGGCGTTGAGTATGTCTCACCCCGAACCATGCTTGACAACTGCTGACCAAAACGACAGAGTACGATGAGCCAGAAAAGTTCAGCGTCGTCGAGGTGCCCCTCCCTAAGCTGCGTGAGCACGATGTCCTGGTATGAGAAGAAATGGTCACACGTAGAAAGAGATGGCTGACGTTGGATACAGGTCAAGGTCAAGGCCTGCGGTGTGTGCGGTACCGATATCCATATCCACGAGGGTGAATTCTTGGCCAAGGTAGGCACTCTAAAGATGATGTGAATATTGGACATTTCAGCTGACGGCCGCCCAGTTCCCATTGATCCCTGGTCACGAAACTGTTGGCGTTGTTGCCGACATTGGATCCAAGGTCAAGGGCTTCAAGGTCGGCGACCGTGTCTGTGCCGACAACTCTGAGCTTTGCGGAGAGTGCTTTTACTGCCGTCGTGGTGAGGAGCTTCTTTGCGAGGACTTCCAAGCCCACGGTGTCACCATGGACGGTGGCTTCGCCGAGTACTGCGCCTACCCAGCAAAGAGAGTGTTCCCATTCAAGAACCTCTCTGACGTCGATGCCACTCTTCTCGAACCTGCTTCTTGCGCCGCCCACGGATTGGACAAGATTGCCCCCAAGATGGGTTCGCGGGTACTGATGTTCGGTGCGGGACCAACCGGTCTCGTGTTGGCTCAACTGCTCCGCCAGAACGGTGGTTGCCACGTCGTTATTGCTGCACCAGAAGGTCTCAAGATGGACCTGGCGAAGTCTCTGGACGCTGCGGATGAGTACATTGAGCTCTCCCGAAAGGACCCAGCTGCCCAGTTCGAGAAGCTGAAGTCAGAACACCCATACGGCTTCGATATCGTCGTTGAAGCCACTGGTAGCGTCAAGATTCTCGAGGATGCCATCAACTATGTCCGAAGAGGTGGAAAGCTCGTTGTGTATGGTGTTTATGGCAACAAGGACCGCGTCACATGGCCTCCCAGCAAGATCTTCGGTGACGAGATCACCATCCTTGGTTCTTTCAGCGAGACCTACAAATTCCCTGCCGCCATCGACTATCTCGGTATGTTATCATATCCCCGTCTCTTTTGTTTTGGTATATTTGCTGACAGCCATAAACAGACAGCGGTAAAGTCAAGGTCAAGGGTATCGTCAACAAGACTTTCAAGCTGGAGCAGTGGGCGGAGTGTCTCGAGGCCATGAAGAACAAGAGTGCCATCAAGGCTGCGATCGTGTTCGACTAGAGCATTACACTGTAGCCCGCAGGCGATCTGTATGCGAAGATGAGCTCATTGACCCAACCTTCATCAGTTTTGGATGATTTGGACGTGACCAGTGTAGAGAAAAACGAACATTCCGCCTATTTCATAGTGCCTCACTTAAGGTAGACAAATGGATAGAGAAAGAGGAAATTGTAGAGATGAGCGCAGGTACCTTATTAAACAGGGTAATGCAACATGCGTGTTGTGCCTTGCATCATCCCGGCGGTTCCCCCTGTCCACTCAACCCCGGCTTTCCTTTCCATCCTTTAACCTTTGCATTCTTTTAAGGTCCTCGATCCCTTTCCATAGTGGCATATCGCAAGCTCAACGGACGTCTTGCCCATGGTGAGTCGTTTTGGGTATCAGTCCGAGTCGCTGGTCCAACACTTCACTGTGCTTGTCCACTGTTGACATCATGTTGTGTCTGGCTTCCGAGAATCCGGGGAGCATTCGTGTGATGACTCAGCCTACGAGGTCGGTTGTTTGCTGTTTTTGTATCGGGACGTTCACAAACATTCAGCAACTCAGTTGACATGCGTTAGAGAGGAACAGACTGTTCTGGTAGGTAGGTGAATAGTTGTCATTGCTCACGTCTCGCTTCACACGGTGTGTATGGCATGTTTGGACGGTCTTCGACCATCAGACGACAGAGATGGACATGGTATCTAACAGCAGGAGACATCATGGTTGGAGTGGAGCCAGCGAGTATACACATTGACGTCAAAGTGAAGGCACGCTCCTAGGGTATCTCTTCAAGGAAGTCAGACGCTTTTCACCTGGTAGGTTGATGATCAGACTGTGGTTGAATTTGGGCGAGGAGGACTCCAACCTGAGCCTTCGAGCTATGAAGCTCTTACGCGACGTCGCCGATGGATTGTATCCTGTTGCTGGTTCTGGTCGTTGAAACAATAATGGCAATGAGCCTTGCGCGTTCACAACACGATGAGCGACCTCAACACCGACAACGCCGCATGTGAAGGACTTTCATGCCTCATCCTAAACAAGAGAGGTCTCGCCGCCGCACCCTCCCAGCCTCCTCGTGATTTCCTGGCCGCCTTTGATGTGATCAAACACCTGTATCTGATCTGAAGCTGGATCTGAATTCTCCTATAACCAAATTTCACACTCTCAACACCTCTACGTCCCTCTCTGTACCTCTAAACAATCAATATCTTCGTCCAAAACACTCATATACATATCCTTTCAATAGCTCGAAGTCTATCCTGCATCTGGTACTCACTGTCAAGGCCAGGATGTCTCCCAACGGCTCTTTCAACCTTCCCTTGAGATTCATGCTTCCGACAAGTGTCACTCTCGACCCAGTCTTCACACTTTTGTATGAGAACAAAGGACCGGCCTTGACACATCTCATCGTCAACAAAGCACCACTTCCTCTTAAGAATGTCATCTCCAACGGATCATTCATGGAGTACATCTTGAACAAGGAGTCAGGACCCAAGGTCGAATACAAGAATCTCCGCCCAGCACTCACAGCCATGCGTGGTTTCCTGATCATGTCTCCAACTGGCAAGCAATTGTTGGATTTCTACCGCCAGCTCCTGCAACTCCAAGCTCGATGGGCGATCGCATACGCAGAGCAGATCAACTTTGAGATCTGGAAGACAATCACTCAAGCCTTGTACATCGATCGCTGTGACACTCAACTCGAGACTCACATCTGCCAGTATGTCCCCGACGCGCAGAACAAGATCGTCACCTGCACCGTCGGCAACCGTCACCAATTCGACATGATGATCCTGGGAGAACTGGGACGTCTGCGCAACAAGACCAGAGATACAAGCGACGCATTGCACACCTTCAAATCATCTCCCGTTTTCTGGACCCAGCACGGCAAATTGGTGGCTTCGATCGAACACTGCGAGAAGAAGTTGGCTGAGATCCGACGACGCAGTGCCGTCCGCAAGCGTGAACAACAGGCCAGAGTCAATGCCGCTTATGTGCGCAATGGAGCCAACCTTCACCGTCAGATGGGTATGGCCGGCATGACCCCAAATCTTCCACATGTCGATGAGGAAGTCGTCGATTGGGTTAACGATGCCAAGAACGAGTACTTCAACTTCCAAGATGCGGACAATTACTTTTCGTTCAGCGACGATTCTTGACCTCGACCAGAAGACTCATGGGGATCACCATGATAATGATATCGAAGTGACACAAGGCAATACAGCCAGGATACAAGAGGTTGACTGAGCAGTGTGTCAATCGGAAATGACGGGGCTACATGTTGCAAACGGTGGACGTCAAGGCGACATGTCTACTATTGAGAAGACTCACTTCAAAGGAATGATGTCTATCAGCGATGGG